TTATCGCGTACGAAGAAGTGACCAATCAGAGATCGGCAACGAATGTGCGTTAAATAAAATGGCGGCTTGTTTTGCATGTATGCTCTCGTTTGTGTGACTTACAGCAGGTCGCTGAGATTCCATGGCATAACTGTAGTTCAAAAAACGTTACAAACGTACCAGTGTATGTGTGTATATATGTATGTGTGCATGTAAGCAAAAGCCTCCTTAAGCCACAAAGAAGATAAGACGAAGAAGGCGCGTTGTAAATACCAAAAGAGAAAAGTTAAAAATAAATTTTTTGTTGCGTGAGGTGGTGCAGAGGTCTTACAAGTTTCCGAAAACAAATTTTTGTTTTTTAATGGTTAATTTTAATTTTCAAGACTAAGTCCACGCTCATTTATATAGCTACTCATTTTAATAATTCCTAGCTACAGCTGTTTTCGAAAATTTCAATGCTAGTTACACTAGCTGCTTAATCTAGGCTTAAACACAGTTTTCTAGTTAGTAGTCGCAGTTTTAGCGAATGGCAAGCATCAAAGTGCATTTTTACCTTAAATCATTTGAGTATTTCGTAGCCTGCTTGAATCACTTAATCCTTAAAATAAGAATTTAAGCCGCACATTCCAAATGGAAATATAATAAATTTAATATTGATTTCTTACACCTTCTTCTTATATACCATTATGTAATTTTATGTAATCATCTTTAGTAATGAAAAAAATATTCAATACACATGTAATTTTAATTAATTATGAAATAAATGAAAAAAACCGATAGCAATTTACATATACCTATATTAATTTGTATACATAAATTTCGTTAAGAAGTGGCCTATCACTCTATATGCTCTCCAAACTTAGGCAATCTGCACCGAAGCTATAATAAGAGTATTTGTTGTACAAATGTTAATTTTTTTGTAGCACAAAAGCGTATAAAAAGAGCTTTATGTAGACTTTGATCGAGTAATTTGTTAAGTTTGCTATAGTCGTTTGATTTGAGCAATATATTCGGAGATTATAGATTACAGTCATTATTGCTTTAGATAATCGATGCCGGTCAGATCAAAAAAGTAAGTAATACATTTCGTTCAAGTACTCCTGGCGCTATACTTGACTAATCTGTCATGTGTTTTTGTTTTAACTGTTTTAGTGCCACGAATGCGCTGATTACTTCCTACAATAGCGTGTGTCTCATTCTCAACTTTTTGATAAAAATCTGCCAGTTAATTGTATTTTTCTAGCGTGGCCAAGTAAAAAGCCTAGTAAATAATATTTTATCAAACAAATTACGCTTTTTCATTTTTGTCAACCAATTGATATTTCCTACTGATTAAGTTGATGAGTTCTGTACATACATGGGTACAAACAGTCATATGTGTATAAAAAAATACTCTTTGCTCTACTTTATCAGTTAATACTTAAATTAAATTTATAATGAAATACATTTTACACCACCCCTCTGAACTTTTTCATGCCATAATCTTCTAAAATACCGGCACGACACATTTTCTCTTTTTAAATTCATGTGGTAACGGCTTGCGAATTCACGCAGCCACCGCATTGTCAGCATATGTTAGACACGTGACTTTCGCATGCTTACCACTAAACAGTTGAATAAGTAGCGCTAAAAAATAAAATATATAAGTTGCTTTAAAAGCTCCTACATATGTGTTTGATTTTAAAATTTTTATTGCCAACAGTTTTTTAGTTTTTTGCACACACAAAGCCTAAGCATACAATTAACAGGTGTGATAATGCCGACACATAACTATATGTATTTGCTTTTCTTAAGCGAGCACTATCATATCAATAAAATAATTATATACTCTTTGTGGCAGCAAATGCCATAATCATTTAATTCGAATTAAGTGTATTAGTCATTCAGATAGTTTGGTGTGCTATGTTGTATTATGTTATGTTAGGGTTGCTGTTAAATAAGTACAAATGTACGCATATAATTTTATTATAAACTTAAGCCACTCTCCAACATTTGGCTTATGGAGGATTTCTAGACCTTATATTATAGTGTGAAAAAAACATGTTGTTAAATATATGGTTCTCTCTTCTGTGCCATTCAACTATAAAACACTCTGCTTGCTTTCTCTTATGAATTTTGTTACGCGAGCGCAAAGCTCAAAAAGTTCTTGTTGTAAAGTAAAGCTTAGTTGAAGTCTAGAAAGCGGTTTCGCAAAACACATAATCTTCTTAAAATAATATTATATTTTCATAAAATATAGTGAGAACCAAATAAAAGTTCTTAGAACCCCATTTTTAAATCCATAAACTTTAATTATAAAAAAAATCAGTATAAACATACTTGAGATTCGTTAGTCAAATATTCAATGGGATAACAAAGCTATTGTTCCTCCCCACCATTCGTTAAATAATATAGAAGTCCAGACTTACATTAGAGTATTTGGAAAGCTTCATTCTATCAACACTCTCTTTTACGAGTACACATGGCACATACATAGTTAGAGAGATAGCAGAACGCTCTCTTTTTGTTGTGATAAGCAAAGCTTTTATGTTGCCACATACGAAGTCATAGCATAGATGTAGCTACAAATGTTAGATATAGCTACAAATGTTAGATAAAGCTACAAATGTTGGCAATGATAGTCCTTCTGGGATTTCTGAACCCATGGAATTGCGCGCTTCAAAACCCCTTTATTGTCTAGAACCAAACTTCAAAACTTTACCAAATTTTCGAAAAAGTCTCTAACTTTACTTGTAGGATGTAGGTAGAAAAAAAAGTTCCAAATATAGTTATGTTACAGTTATGCACAGAGAAATAGCATACTTTTTTATTTAAATATTTGAGATAAAATTGTTTTTATTTCTAATAAAAGTCAAAGATTTATTTTTCACTTGAGTGTTTACGTTGACCAGTATAATGTGTAAAGGCAATCAATGTATTACTATTCTTAGTATTTTCTTGCTGGTTTTTTGAAAAATTTGCATATTGCAGGTGTTTAGCGAAATATCACACTTGGTTATTATTGATCATTACTCCTTTCAAAATCGGAAGTTGTGCAAGGATTTGTTATCTATCAAAAATATGTATGTATTGGAATGGCCAGCGCAAAGTCCCGATCTTAACCCGTTAGAGAACTTATGTAATGATGTAAAAGTTAAGATCGGGCAAAAAAAAATTTAAAAATTCGGACGAGTTTTGGACTCGAATTAAGAAAGCGTGGTATTCCATTCCACAGAGCAGATGTCACAAACTAGCGGAGAGCTTAACTCGCAGATGTTAGACTTGAAAAATCGGGGCCATATGACAAAGTATTAACATGGTAACAAGAAATATAGTGCTGTGTGCAGCCGAAAGCGGTTAACGTCGACTTAAATAAAAGGCAAATTAAAATTGGTTCATTTTATTTAGTGTTTATTCTTTCTTATATAAAATCACATCGAAAACAAGTTTCTAAAAATAAGTATAAAACATATGACATAAAAATGGGCAAAAAACCATGGTTTGAAAAAAATTTTGTAAGTGTGCTACTTTTCTGTGCATAGCTGTATATATGAAAATATATAAAAGATAGTATATACATGTATGTATGTATGTGATTACAACTCCTATTAATACATAATAATGTATAAAGAACTATTTCGTTTCATTGCGTTAACTGAAATTTTTAAAATATATAACTTCACATACATACATACATTGCTGTTAGTATAATAACATATTCTAATCAGGCGTTTTTAAGAAATTATCATGATATATGGTTACAAAAAAGATAAGAAAGTATTTTATGCTCAAAAACTTGATAGTTTGATAACTGTATTTAGAGGCATCTGTTGTGAGCTTTTTGCAGTACATTGTAAACATTGCTTTATCAGTTTATCTTAGCCATCCTAAGTAGATATGTATATGATAAAATCCTGATTATTTATTATAAATTATCCAAAAAACATATAGATCTTTAAAACAGTTATAGTCGTAGCATAGTTTAAGGAAGTCTACCTAATTATCTACTTCGCAAGTTTTCACTGAAAGCTCACTGCTGTTTCTGTCACAAAACTTACTACGTATGAAATTATTAATATTTCAAAAGAGCATTTAATAATGAAAATGAACTTTTTATATTGTGTGTTAAAATAATAATATTATCGTACAAATAGAGAGTTACAATAGTTATAAACATTTAAATAATATGTAATATATTTCTAAAAAGCTCATCCTTTTACAAAAATATAATAATAATTGGGTTTATAAGCTTTTCAATATGCCTTTCACTATTACTAGGCTATTATAAAGCCCTACTAGTTTGGGTTTACCAGTCGTATTAGCGATTATAAAAACAGCATAATATAATATTTTGCATAAGAAACATTCGGATTTATGATTCACATTCTATGAAATTAAAAAAGATTTTTTAAAAGCTTTTAATATACAAAGTTTATGAAAGCTTAAATAATACTCATATTTTAGGAAAACAATATATAACAACACGAAGAGATTTCCTTAACTTTTTTTTACTGAAATTTTACACAAATATGTTTCTATAAATTATTTTTTTCTTTATATCACAAAAATTAATTGAGACTATGGAAATAGCGCCGTTTATTGATTAGCACATTATATAAATATATAACTATACTACTATATTCCAAAAATTATATTTGATTTTAAAATATTGCTTCCAAGAAAATTAAAACAAAAAAATGGTTTCTTGAAAACCAAAGTTTGTTAAAATTGATCGATTTGCACAAATTTTATGTATTCAAAATTTTTTATAATATATATCCGTTTTTTTTCAAAAAATATTTTATCTTCACTTACTTTTATTTATATTAAAAAATTTAATATTTTTTCGAAAACCACAGAAGAATAATTATTTGTAGACATTAAAAAAATGTTCCATGATTTTATACATGGACATTGCAAAAACTAAACCATCGTTTTAATAAAACTCAGTTCAAAACTTAATTTCGGCACAAACATATATTTTATTACATTACCAATTCACTTCACAGTGTTTTTTTCTAATGAAAATAATATCCACTCACCTTTATAAACAAAAATTGTTTTAATAGTTTTTAGTCGATTTACATATGTACATATATATGCCACGAAATCATTTTAAACATATAAACTTTAGAAATCCGTTATGCGTTTTTAAAATGTTCAACTCATATTTCTTATTACATTTTATTTGTCGACTTCACGAGTTTAATTTTAATTATCAGCAGAAAATGACACTTGAAAAAATCTTGCTTTGCACTGTTGGCTACTCGTTTTTTGAAATTGTGTAATTTTTTTTACGTATTTATGATTAATTAGTTTGCGCGTGTCCACCTTTTAGCCTCTTGAATTTTTTTTTAGAATTGTTTTGTTTTTCTTTAATGTTTTTTATTTATATATCATTTGCTATTCGGTTACTCCTAATGTGTGTAATTAGTGTTTAGTTTTTTTTACTATTTATTTATATTTGTGTGCAGCAAACTTTGAACTTTAGATGCATGCATATATTTATTTCTTCTTATATATATATAAGTATGTACGTATGTATGTGTTTTTATTATTAATTTTTATTGTCACTTTTTAATTAGTTTACTAATTTGTTGAATTTTTTGTTTTTTATTCCACAACTCTTGTGGCACACTTTTGACTTTCACTGATTGCTGTTGCTGTTGAAATCACTTTCATTTAATTATTTGAAAACCAAATGCCGTTTCTATTTATTTCCGAAAGTGTAACAACACGTCCAAACGCTGGGATCTCCTACGAGTGAATAATTTGCGAGATGACTTCCCCGGCGTACATTGGACACAAGCAGACTGTATGAATTGGCTGTGTCGCTGTTTGTAGGCTCAAAAGCTGCAGCAGCAGCAGCAGATGCTAATCATAAATGCTAGTCTGCAAGTGTGTACCTACGTGTGTGCGTGTGTGTGTGTGCGTATTTCAATCAGCAACTGTCGAAGCGCCTACTCGTGGGGTTTTTCAACGTCGCGTTGATACGATCAGCAGCAGCCACAGTTCGTCAAAACCAAAAAAAAAAAAAAAATATATATATATAGAACAATAACAGCGTTAATACGTGCACAATGACAACAACAATAACACTCGAAGCTATGAAGTTATTGGCAATAGCTTGTGCGCTAAACGCGTTGCGGGTGTGAAAAGCGCAACAAGTTTGGAGTGATAAGACCGTTTCGGCAGTAAGTATGTGAGTATGTACGTACACACTTGTGTTTCGAATAGTAGCAATGCTCATATCAATTTCATTTTAACTCAATTTCTTTACTGATGCTACGACAGAGGCAAATACCGGCATATAAATATAAATCAAAATTGGGTCAAAACTTCTGTTCATTAAAATATTTGTGAAACGACTAATGGATTGTAATTTAAAAAATATTTTTAGATATTAATATACAATTTTGGGCACGTCCTTTTCTCCCAAACAAGCTGCTCATTTGTTGGAACCCTTCACATTGCTATAGGCTACAAACAAATCGATAAAAATCAAGCTTTAGTATGGAAAGTTTTTTTATTTGCAAAGATATCTTCATGAAATTTCGGACATATTATTTCTCTAGGCAAAGCTACAATCTACGAATAAATTGTTCAGATCGGATCACAATAAGTTATAACTACCATTGAACTGACCGCTTATAATCAAGCTCTTCTACGAAAAACTTTTTTTATTTGTCAAGATATCTTTACTAAATTTGAAATTATTTAACGGTCAAAGTAGCGCTATATTCTCCGAACAAGAGATCAGACCTCTATAGCATATAGTTGCCATTTAAACTGAACAATCGAAATCAATATAAAATTATTTTTATAGCTTATAAGAAATACACCTGTAAAGTGTACTTTTCAAATAAGTTTATGGAGATCAAGCTTCCTTTTATGCTTTTTAATTCTCTCACAATTAGAGACACTGCTATTTTTTTGAACACAAATGTATAAAAATATACATTAGTATACGTCTGCCGGCCGACGTACGTGTGCTAACTTTACGAGTAGGCATATGTACCCAAACACACACACACATATTTATGTATGTAGATAAGTGTGTTAGCAAGTTATTGCTCTTTGACTGTAAGTGGGCAGCGAATGTGAACTATGATCATTGTCGTCACAAGGCGCATGTCTTGTACATTGCACAAGCCCGATAGTTTAATCATTTCAATGAATTAGTCAACGACTGATAGCATACCCATAGGACCAAGTACGAGCGTAGATATTTCGGCGTGTGAGTAAGTGCAATCCTCGATAGCAAATCGCCGCCGTGCGGATATTAAATATTACAAATGTGAATGAACGTGCAGTTGGAGAGCGGTTAGCTGAACTTCGCAGTCATACCGCAGAGTTAGCGCGACGCACACACATGCGCAATCGGAAACTCTTTCAAAACTTACGCACACACACGTACCTACATACGATTAGGAACCGAAGTAGTTCGTTTGAATAAAAGTTCTCTGTTGCGCTTTCGTTTACATTTGATCATAACATGATCGATTTCTACGATCGTCTCGGCGCAATTGTTCACGCGTTGTATTCGGCTTGATCCGTATTGCCCCTCGTTTTATTGCTTAGCCGTTTTGATAGCTGTACGTTGAGCAATGACTCCCTTAAGTGTATTAACACCCACCCACCCACTCGAAGTTGACATAAATTTCGTGCGGCATAAATGAACGCCGGCGTTATAATCTAGCCAGCCATATCTACGCAGTACGTCGTAGCAGTGATCTTTGCACCTTTTGCAATCGCGCAATAGACGCCGCAATAAAAAATCTTTAACACAAATATAATCGTATTTACAAATATACTCGTATTTATAAGTATTAATCACGCGCAAGGTAATTGTGGGTACAAATTTATACAGTTTCTTCTTTCGACCGAAGTTTCGTCTTTGCTTGCCTGAGTTCCTCAAACATCAAAGTTATTTATATTTAAAATGAAGAAACGACTTGTTCGAACTGCATTTTAGAATTCTTTACACATTTTGAGTGACTTCTGGAATACAAATAAGAGAAACAATATCTATGCTGTGGAGCTTTTAAGCTCTGAAGCTCGATTTCTCATATATCTGATAATACAGTCGAAAATTTGCCATTGCCTGTCCCAATCACGCTAAACCATTAGAATTGTGTAACCGATATTAGAAAAGACACAATAAATATAATAATACAATTATAATGATCAGGGCTGCAAACCGGTTTTGAACCGTACCGCCTCTTTTGCCTGCCTTGAACTAGAGAAGAGCATGCAGTTTAAATTTTTTTTTTAAAGTGGGCGTGGTCCCCTGATTGGTTTAATGTGCACATATCCTAACCCGCTAAAGCTTTAATAACTAAATTCACTGAGAACAAATGTTTTTAGCACATCTCTTGACAGTGTGAAAATGGGTGAAATCGGATGAAATCGGATGACAACCCCGCCCACTTTCCATATAATGGTACTGTTAAAAACTATCAAAAGCGCGATAAATCAAGCACTAAACACGTCAGAGACATTTTATCTCTGGGATGGTATGAGATGACTTTATAGGAACCGCATTCAAAATTAGATAGTGGACGTGGCACCGCCCACTTTTAGGTCAGAAGCCATACCTTGGGATCTGCTTAACCGATTTCAACCAAATTCGGTAGATAACTTTCTTCTCATATTTCTATGTTATAGTGCGAAAATCGGCGAAATCGGATTACAAGCACGCCTTTTCCGATATAACACCATTTTAAATTTCATCTGACTATTTCTTTTTCCACTATGCAAATCAAGCAACAATGATTGTATCGGGGTAAAATCGGTAAATTGAACCGAACCGAACCGCGGTTCAGAGATACTCATAAGCCGGTTCTTGAATCGGTATTAGTGGTTTGAAACACTGAACCGAACCGCATCGATTTTTGTTGTGGTTTGCAGCCCTGATAATGAGTAATAATAATAATAAGTGATGCTAGCCGCGTCTGATAAACTATTTTTGTTTATACTGCCAACAATTTTATTTGGAATTTGACACGACGAAATTAATAATTTTTTTTTTGCCGATAATGGTTTATCATATTCATTGAGTGTTATTGAGTAGGAACGTCATTTTCGTTTTATGCTTTTGTTACCTTCATACTAGATATACCAATTTGTAAAACTCAGCGTCTGGGTAAACTAGACTCATGTCCGTTAGTAATAAGAAAATTTGGATCGTAAATATTTATAATCACTAATAATTTTATATACGTACTATTTTATTTAAATCTTAAATAAGCATTTAATTAGAGAAATATTTGTTTCTTTAAAAATGTAAATTATAATAATTCGACATAATACAGCCCGTTTAGCCCTTCTCCAGATATTCAATGTAGATTACATTTTGTAAAGTTTTACAAACGGTAACAATCACTTTACCGACTGGTAGAACAATCCTCGAAATTCTTTTTCCCAAGAGGAGGTTAATATTTTTGACGATTTCTTGGTCTCTGGTGTGTACCAGTGTTACCGTCTCGAAGCTATTTTTGATTTCAATGTTCGATTATTCTTCCGAAAGCAAAAATCAAATTACCGACCAATGTTTCTATATTCCGGTTTTCCGAAAATATACCAGGCGATAGTAAATAATCAATGGCAGAATTGCTTAAATTGCACTTCTTATTCTTCACGTTCACTGAAATGATTCAGAACTTATCCCATTGACGCTTTGCTGGACTTATATCTCAAAAGAATGCGTGACAAAAAAATTTAACGACAATGAAAATGTAAATGACGGGCAAAGAACGTCATAGTATCTTTTTTTAGATAAAGAGATGAATTAAACTACAACAAGTAAGGGGGGCCTAAGTTCGGGTGTGCCCGAAACTTTTTTACTCTTGCAACTTACAAGGATCAAAGCCAGGGAAATAAGTTCAGGTGTTGGCAAAACTGTATATTAAGAAATGTAGCAAAAAGGTTCAACTTCATTGTTTGACGAAATGGTGAATGGATTACAATCACATTTGGTATCATATTAACTTAATTTGAAGGTCATAGACTCACTTAGTTTTATACCTATATTTTAATTGCCGTCAGCGAAAATTATAAAAAATACTAAAATCATTGGGGGCATAGAAATGAAAGAGATGATTGCATTAATTTTTTACATTGCTCAGGTATACTTGAGAGCTTACCTTCAAGCAATTTTATAAATATTGTCATATATATGGAGTTAAGTCAGCCAGAGTTTTCAAAATCGTGAATATTATTATGTTAGTAAAAAAACACGCTTTCTCAATTTTATTAATATAACTAGCACATTGGACGATATATGTGGCATAAAGTCAACTGGTAGTTCGAAAATCTGTATTTAGGTATATGGAGGCTAAATCAAGTATTAATCCGATTTAATCCATTTTTGACACAAGGGTATATTATTATCAAAAAAACATTTTTCCCGAATTTCAATTACTATAATATATCTCACAGATTGACCGATATTTTCGGCATAAAGTTAGCCATAGGTTCTGGAGTCCACATTCCCGGTATCTGGGGGCTTAAGTAGTTATGGTCCGATTTTGACAATTTCAATTCTTTCTGAAATAATAAAATCAAAATTGCCAAAAACAATGTTTGTTTTAAAAATATTTTCTTTAAGACGATCAATATCTGTTAATATCGCTAAATTTCGATAAATTATATGTCGTTGTTCAACAAGACGAAAATTTCTGAGTAGTATATGTTTTTATTGGTGTTAAAATTTCCAGGAGCTATCATAAACCGATAGAATGGTATTTTCATTGCAACCCTATGCTCTCAAATGTCATGACATACGTAGTTAACCCAAGTTAAAAACTCAGTTAGCCCAATTTGTTCAGCCAAAGGCTTTTCAGCCAATGAGGTATATAAGTATGACTTTTATGCTAATGTAAAATTAAATTTATAAATCATACCAATTACATAATGCTGGCAATACAAGTACAGTTCAGTAATTGTCCGTATACGAGATTTCTCTGTTGGAAAAGC